AATGGGTATTTATACCCCCTTTGCATCAATAAGAACTAAACCCTCTTATAATTTTTCATTGTTTTCATGGTATCAGAGTCACATCAAATATTGAGGAACTGAATTTTGGAGTCGTTCGCCTGATCTGTGCCGCTCGATCTTGGAGTTGTTCAATCTCGATTTTGGAGCTGTTCGACGCCCTAATTGCTTGTCGCTCGATCTCGAGTTGTTCGAACCGCTCGCTCGCCGCTTGACGACTACTTCACCGCTCGCCGCTCAACGACTTCGTCCTCCTGGAGAGCTCGAACCGTTCGCTCGCCTCTCGACGACTGCTTCGCAGTTCGACCGATTCGACGACTACTTCGCCTCGTCCACCTCTGTTAGCTCCAATAGCAAGCGTACGATCCTCTGTGGCGTCTTCCGCTTTCCCTTTTGCTTCCCGTCTCGCGAAGGCGGTAATCTTTTGCTTCGGCGGGTGAATCTCAGGCTAGAGCAAATTCACCGTCCTTTATCTCTAAAATGTCTGAAGTCACGTCTAGGATAAGTCAGCCTCTTCAGCCATCTCAGCCCGAACCTCAGAGAAATACATCTCAAAATCATTCCATTCAAATCACTACAATCCGACTTAATGGTGATAATTTTCTTCGATGGACACAATCTGTTCGCATGTATCTCCGAAGAAGAACAAAGATTGGCTATATCGCAAGTGATACTAAACAAGAATGACATATCTTACTCATCATCTAATGCGTCTATAGTTCTATAGCACAAGCAGGTAGTAATCCTTTGGACTTTCTAGGAAGTACCACTCCTTGGATCATTGATTCAGGTGTCTCTGATTATATGACAAGCTATTCTCAATTATTTAATTCATATTATACATGTCCCGGTTCCGAAAAAAATCAAAATTGTTGATGACAGTTTTCACGAATTGCAGGAAAAAGAAATATTAAAATTTCATAAAAAATATTTTTTAAATTTGTCTTACATGTTCCAAAACTTACATGTAATCTTCTTGCTGTTAGCAAATTGTCTAAAGATTCTGATTATTCAAATTCTCTTCTTCCAATTGTATTTTTCAAGACCGGAACTCGGGTAAGATGATTGGAACTGCTAGAGAAATAAATTGGTTGTACTACTATGTTAGAACTGATTTTGCGAATAAAAAGCTCATGATTAGGTAGTACGATTTCAAGTTTTGACTATGAACAAGTTATGTTATGACATAAAAGATTAGGGCATCCTAGTTTTACATATCTCAAATTTTTATTTCCTAAACTATTTAAAAGTATTGATTGTTCAAAACTTCATTATGAAGCATGTAATTTATTTAAAAGTCAACGTGTTACGTTTCCAATAAAATAATATTCTGTTTCAAAACCATTTTATACGGTGCATAGTGAAGTTTGAGGCCCATCCAAATTTAACACACTTTATGGAAAAAAATAATTTATAACATTTATTGATAATCACACACGAGTTTGTTTGGTGTATTTATTGGAAAAGAAATATGAACTTGAACAACAATTTAAAGACTTCTTCCACATGATTGAAAATTAATTTCAAACAAAAATTAGCATTCTAAGAACGGATAATGAGACCAGTGCTGTCAAAAAAGTTTGTTGTTCGCGAACAGTTCGTGTTCGGTTCGTCAATGAGTTCGTGTTCGATTCGTTCGAAAAAGAAACGAGACGAACGTTAACAATTTTTTTTCATTCAGTTAGTTAAATGAACCAAACACGAACAGTGATGCGTTCGTTCGTGTTCGAATTGTTATTGTTTGAAATATAAAATAATATAAAATAATTATATATAAAAAATTTATTATATTTTAAATTAATAATAATAATATATTAATATACTATATTAGTAATATACTAATATAGATATTATATATTTATATAATATAAGTTATATAATTATATCATTTTCCTTACTTGTAAGTCCTTAATGGGCATTGTTTTCCTTACCTGTAAGTCCTGTAATGGGTATTTATACCCCCTTTGCACCATTAAAAATTAAGTCCTCTTATACTTTTCCACAGTTTTCAATATATATATATATAGTAAGATACTTTTAACAACTTTATGTCTAAATTACTGGCTTTACGTAGCTTTTAAGTGTATTTTTTATTAATATTTTTTAAACCAACTACTACATGAGCTAACAAATCCATTGAGGGTAGGCTCAAACTTGTCTTATTAACTAATTATGCTCGATTCACTAGCCATTTATCGAGCCAAGCTCAAATTGGTTTACAAGTAGGCTTGACTTTATTACACCCCTAGTCCTATTCATGAAAGAAGTACATAACAAATACACACAAAAAAAACAAAAAACAAAAAATTGGCCCCAAAAGACCAGCAAAAAAGAATTGATCTCTATGCATTGGGAAAACTACTACAAGTGGGACAAAAGAATAGATTTATTTCAAACAATGAAAACGTGATCCAAATCAGAAAGAACTGTACTCTGCTTTGAAGTTAGCAAAGGAAGAATTAAATTAGAAGAGGCAATAAATAATACAAAATGAAATAGAATTAAACACTATACTTGTTCACGTTTTACTTAAAACTTCTTAAAACAAAGAAGTAGCATTTCTCATCAAACAAAAAAAAATAAAATAAAATCCTGATCGGGAAGAGATTCATTCCATCCATCTTCAGCATAAAAAATAATGGCATCGAGTAAGAATTGCAACTTCACGCAGAATAACGTGGGGATCAAATCGAAAAGGTATAAATGATCCCTAATTCGAAATTACAACATATAACACAAGGAACAAGTAAGACAGATAAGAGAAAATAATATATAAGAAGAGAAATAGAGAAAGAATTTATAATAAATAAATTTAAATTCAAACAAAAAATGTAATCATAAGAACCCTGTAACTCAGAAAAAACTAACTGAAGCTTGGAGTCATAAATAAAGGCAGTAATATTCAATCTGCTCGTGTGCTTTAACATCTAAAAATAAAGGATCATGTACCATCCACACTAAAGCAACCTCACATAAATGATATAAAGAGCAAAACACAGATCAAAACATACCGAGACGAATTTAGGGTAAAAGATAACTTCAGCACGGTTATTGAGGACATCCACTGCAGCGTTGTGGATACCCGTTAGCCGCTTGATCGCCTTCTCCACCGACCCAGCACAGGCCGAACACGCCATCCCAACCACGGAAAACATCGCCGTCCTATGCCTCTCCGGCGGCACCTCGACGCCATTTCCCTCCACCACCGCCTCCTTCGTCTTCGCCGCCCCTTTGGGGTACTTCGGCATCGATGGATATCGGGACACCGCAGAGAGGTCACGCGAGGAGCACTCGGCACGGAGGCACGACATTAGGAATCCTCTGCTCGCCATTTTCACCTCGCGCTCCTTTCCTCTTCCTCCCTCGAAATCCAGGATTTGAAATTAAATTTATAATAGAGACGCGAAGCTACCGAATAGCCGAAATTGGAAACAACTCTGCATCGTGGCCCTACACGTGGCAAAACTCGAGATGATGAATAAATTTTATTTTAGCCCTCTAAAAATTTTTTATTATACATCCACCCCACTAGCTATTAATTACATATCAAATTTCTTTTAAAAGTTACATGCTACTAATTGGAGGAAACGATGTGCAATTTAAAATAGCAAAAATTTATTGTTAATGCGAAAGAACTTCGAAATAATTTTATCAAATAATTTTTTTTTTCAAACAACTTAATTTTAAAATACTAAAAAATTATTATATTACTTCTATAAATTCTGAGATTAAGGGTCCGTTTGGGGCAGTTTATAAGTGCGGGAGGCATTTTCAAAATGTCGTTGTACCGTTCGGTTCGCATGTTTCGTCAGCTTATCCGAAACTGCGTTTAGGTTTTTACACTAAACGCAAACCGCTAGCCGACCACTGCGGCCGGCCCGCAGACCGCGTTTCAGGATAAGCAACTTATCCTGAAACTCAAAAACCACCCCGAACAGGAAGTTGCCCCAAATAGACACTAAATAGCTTAATGTAAATAGTTTAAATTATTTTAGCACATTCTTCTTTTTCAAAACATAAATCAACAAAAGATGCTATCACCAATTTCTAATTACATTCATTTTATGGGGTAGATACGTAAAAATGAAAGCGTAAAACTTCGCGTGGGAAGAAAGCAAGTTGTTGGTGGTGGTGGGCCTTTTAATTGGGCTATTTATTGGGCTGAGCTTAAAAAATTCGATTTGGATCCGCTGAAGTCTTCGGCACTGACGAGGACAATTTGTTTACGATGATACGCCAGCGCAAAAAGTCATTCTTATCCAGTAATTACACAATACAAAACGAATTAAGCTAAATTGTGATGGTTTATTTTATATGTAATTTTTTATTCTCTCAGGCTTTTTTTTTTTTTATAATTTATGCAACATTAAAAAAAGCTTTTCCGGTTTTTGTTTTTTTTCTGGGGGGAATTACATACTGGCCACCCAAAAACTTGCTATTTACACATCAACCCCTCTTTCATCCATTTTTCAAATTTAAATACATCAGAATTTAAAAAAAGAAAAAACACATCAGTCGTTAATTCATAAATATCAATATTTCGGGCGGTTTGTTTGTAATTATCCCTTTTAAAGAATCCCATGAACTATAAGTTCTATTACTTTATAATAAAAAGGCATGTCTCGCCATATTGATTCCAATGACACAAAAATCATCAAAATTCGAGTGCAATTGGCCACTAAAAAACTAAAACATACCCAATGAAAATGGTTATATTATGTCCTCTTATATAAACAAAGCAATATCCACATCAACTTGAAAACAAAACATAATGTTAGTTCATCACTGAGCTGAAGTTGTAAGCAAATGATCGAGTTAAGTACACCTATCATACAGTACAATAAACTATGTCATGTAATGATATTATTTATTATATAAACATTCATTATATCATCCAAAAAAAATGGTGTAAATGAACACAAATAATACCGCATAATCGAAATTTTTCATATTTTAAAGCTTCAACCAACCTCCTGCACTATCTATACGTTGATAGATCTCCTGAAAATGATTGGCATACTCTCTTGTCGATTGTTATATTCATCTCTCCAAAGTAATTCAAACACTAATCAGATCGATGTTTCTTTCTCTACTTTAGTGCATACCAAAAGGGTTATAATTGCCTCAACATGCATATTAGCTTAATAGTTATATCTAATTTTCTATGAAGACATCTAGCCATATCACCAACACCATCAATGACATTTTGGTTCCACAACTCGTATTGACATATATCCCTACACCAACCCAAACTAGCTTAATTTATCAATCAAACACTCCCTTTAAAAACTCATTGAATTAACTACCTTATACCGTCCCCACTGACCAGCTATTAGAAATGTTTAAAGCATGTTAACCTGGAGTCTGATTTCACGCTCCCGCCCCTGCCCCTTGTTTCGCGAAGCGAAGCCACCCGATCGTCGCGCTCCCTCAACTTCACAGAGAGTCGCGTCTTCCGCTCCCGACCGCGAAACAGTGCCAACTCTACTCGATCGCAAAAGGTCGTGAACTGTTACCGCGAACAATTCGTTGTTTCGCGAAGAGTCGCGTCTGTCACGATAGTTTCCTTCCTATTCGTGATAAAGGCTTTGGATGGCTCTCATTAGGTTTCTACGTCACGACACAGCCATTTGTGTTCTTCTTCGATTTCCTCGAGATTGAGGAAGGTTTCCTTGGGATAGAGGAAGGAAAGTGCAAGCAGTAGTTCCTTGCGGCAAAAAGGAAGAAGAAAGAAGAAGAAGAAGATTGTTGTCCCTTGACTTCTTCTCGGTGGCTTGTGGCAGAAGATAAATTGGGTTTATTTCTCTTGTAAGTTTATCTTCTTCGGTGTAACTCGATGTAGAGTTTCTTCGGTGTATCTCAGTATAAAGAGAGAAGAAGAGAGAACAACGAAGTGAGAGAATCCTCTTATAAGTTGAGACGATCGACTGATGTAAATTCCTCAAGTAGTAAAATCATCTGCAATTTCGTGGACGTAGGCAATTTGCTGAACCACGTAAATCTGTGTATTCTGCTGTGTTACTATTTTCTGGTGTGAATTTTCTCGTTCTATTTTTTGCTTTCATCAAAAATCATTCTTCTATTTTATTTATATATATACCACATCAACTAGTATCTGTATATCTCTTACAACAACTGTATCAGAGCTTTGTTCAGATCTGAGTAAGAACGATGACTGCACATGAAGTGAAGGTTTCAGTAATTGAGAAATTTGATGGCACAAATTTTGATTATTGGAGGATGCAAATATAGGACTACCTCTATGGGAAGAAACTTCATCTTCCGTTATTGGGGAAAAGACCTGAAAGGATGGATAAGGCTGAATGAAATTTAATTTGTTGGATCGACTTGGATCGACAAGTTCTGGTTGACCCTATCGAAGTTTGTTGCACACAACGTCGTCAAGAAGAGGACAACTGTGGATCTCATGGTTGCCTTATCTGTCTTATCATGTATGTATGAAAAGCCATCGGTGAATAACAAGGAGTACTTGATGAAAAAGTTATTCAACTTGAATATGGCGGAAGGTGTTTCTGTTGCTCAATACCTAAATGATTTTAATACTATCACAAATCAATTGTCGTCTGTTGAAATTAATTTTGATGATGAGATACGTGCGTTGATATTGTTGGCATCGTTGCCAAATAGTTGAGATGTCATGAGGAAGACAGTTAGTAGTTCTGCAGCTAAATCTAAACTGAAATGTGATTATATTTGTGATTTGATTTTGGTTGAGGAAGTGCGTAGGAATAATTCTGGCTATATCTCAGGTTCGAGTGCAGCACTGAATGTTGGTTTCAGAGGGAGATCACGTGACAAGAACTCAAATAAAGAGAGATCAAAATCAAAGTCTGGTCAGCAGACAACTTGCTGAAATTATGGCAAGGCTGGTCACATAATAAGGAATTGCAGGAATCCAAAAAAATTGAGAATGATAGCTCAAATGTGGTATCTGAAGAAGTGCAAGATGCATTATTGCTGGCAGTTCATAGTTCTATTGATGGTGGAAGTGAAGAGGATAGTGGGTCTGGGGCACCCATTCCATTTGTTTCACAGACAGATGGTGGAGAACCACAAAGCTATGAAGAAATCTTGCAAGATGAAAGTTCGAGCAAGTGGGAGATGACAAAACTTCCACCAGGGAAGAAGGCATTACACAACAAGTGGTGTACCAGGTGAAGACTGAGTTTGATTACAGTAAGAGGTACAAGGCTAGACTTGTTGAAAAAGTCTTTCAGTAGAGGCAGGGAAATGGGATATTGCCCATGCAGTGGAAGTTGTAAACAAAGACAAGAGTAATCCAGGAAATAGTTAGGAGGTGCAAGGCTATGTGAGCCCTGCTAATATATTGACTGAAGGTGTTACTCTTAAGAAACTGGAGTTGTGTATATAGGCTTTGAGTTGCAGAGGTGAAGGATACATGTTGAAGAAAAGGGTGACACCGTTTGTGGAGGAAGTTGTTGACCTCACTTTTGATTGAGGTCTAGAAAACTTCTTCTGGGAGATTGTTAAGCTGAAGTCTGATTTCACGCTCCCGCCCCCGCCCATTGTTTCGCGAAGCGAAGCCACCCGATCGTCGCGTCTCCCTTAGCTTCTCGAAGAGTCGCGTCTTCCGCTCCCGATCTTGAAATGACGCTAATTCTCGCTCGATCGCGAAAGGTCACGAACTGTTCCCGCGAACAGTTCGTTGTTTCGCGAAGAGTCACGTTTGTCGCGACAGTTCCCTTCCTGTTCGTGATAAAGGATTCGGATGGCTCTCCTTGGGTTTCTACGTCACGACACAACCTTTTGTGTTCTTCTTTGATTTCCTCAGGATAGAGGAAGGAAAGTGCAAGCAGTAGTTCCTTGCAGCAAAAGGAAGAAGAAAGAAGAAGAAGAAGATTGTTCTCCCTTGGCTTCTTCTTGGTGGTTTATGGCAGAAGAGAAATTGAGTTTATTTCTCTTATAAGTTTAGCTTCTTCGGTGTATCTCGGTGCAAAGTTTCTTCGGTGTATTTAAGTGTAGAGAGAGAAGAAGAGGGAGCAACGAAGTAAGAGATTCCTCTTGTAAGTCGAGACGATCGACTGGTGTAAATTCCTTAAGTAGTAAAATCATCTACAACTCGTGGACGTTGATAATTTGTCGAACCACGTAAATCTGTGTTCCGTTGTGTTACTGTTTTCGGGTGTGAATTTTCTCGTTCTATTTTTTTGCTTTCGTCAAAATCTTTCTCCTATTTTATTTATATATATACCACACAACTGGTATCTGTATATCTCTCACAACAAAGCACTCAAAACTTTTGGCGTATGGAAGGAGTTATGGAAACGCAAAATGTTGGTCATATATGGTTTACATTTAAAGTATACATGTTCTTCTTTGAAGTTATTAAGAG